CCCCCCCCCCAAAAAAAAAAAACAACTTACTGTAATACATCTCGTACGTAGTCATTGGAGGAATGCAAACAAACCTGATTGAAAATCACACTGCCTACCAGGTTTACCTAATACCAATTACCAAACCTAACTCCCTATTACTATATTAGCATGATATGCCTTCCAAACGGATTTTAACAATTTATAGATCCAATCATTTGTCGTTCCGATACGTCTTAAAAAATAAATAAATTTATGAGTTAGCGTTGATCGAGTCTATACATGTTAATCCTGGAGAATGACCCCTATCTTTTAATGTCGTTTAAATGAATTTAAACAATCAAACATAATTTTTGGTTGTACGATTTTTAATTTTTTTGGTTACAATTAAAAAATATCGAGTTCGAGACATAATCCTAATGTTTAGAATCTCGTCAACTAGACTTTTTTTTTTTTTTCCCTTTCTGATGATAGGTAAAACTTCCACATCAATCACATGAATCGGTGTGCTGGAGATGAGGAAAAAGTGCCAGATATGAATGCAACTCTTTATTCCAGAAGCTAGATTTTTTCGGGGGCAAGACAAGCAGCTTTAGTCAAGTACCTACAACTTAAGTATGCAGCTTTCCTTCCTATGCTGTGGCTTTAAATTCAATGTACGTCAAAGTTAAAAGGACACTTATTGATGAATAAAGTTTTTGGTATGAGTTTTAATTATTATCGGAACGTGGGTTTTGATTTAATTGGTTTATGGGATTGAGAGATCGAAAATGCACTCAAAGTTTACGCTGAAATCTATTCGAACTTAGTGAGTCTGAACCACATAAATACGTCTTTACTCGCCAAAGACAAATTAAAGATTTTTGGAGTTACCAAAAATAAGAGGTGAATTTCTCAGTCTTTAATTGGGAATGAGTTTTAGGCCTGCGAATCAGCTTTGGATCGGATTTTGGTTGATCCAAATCTGATTTCAAAACTCCGATCCAAATTCGATTCGTTAATCCGACGAGTTTTGTTTTCATGATTCATATCCGAATTTGCTAACAATTCGAAATTCGATTGGTCTGAATAATTTAATTAACTAGATTTTAACAAATTATGGCTAAATTTCAACTAAATTTCTTTAAATTGTCACTTAATTTCTTTAATATTTATATAAAAATATATAAATAATTTAGATCGAATCGATTAT